GTACATTTTGTTATTCCTTGACAATGGCCTCGAGTGAGAGTCCGAAACGTCGAGCAAATAAAATACTGGTCCCCGAGAACGTCTTTCCGCCTTCTATTAGTAAATGTAGACTGGAGGAAAAATAAACAGTGAGAGCCTTTTGTAGATTTTTCAGACGAACTAAAGCCAGCCAACGAGGATCAGTGTGAAAAAATAAATCCTTAACTCTTAGATCGGCCAACACCGTCCAACTATAAATGCTAACCCTTCTTCTAAAACCCGACCCTAGTCTTCAACACAACCCCTCAAGACTGGCCTTAGCCGTAACCATCAATATAACGCTTCGGTAAACGCTGAACCATCCACCAACCCCAATGATAGATCTCGAGGAAGGCGTGGCAGGGAAGGAGCGAAAGGAAAACGGAGTTAAATTAAGCCTACCCGAATGACCTAAGTAGTGGCTTCATAGGAGTAAACACTAGGTGGGGTCGCATACATGATCGAAATCGAAGCTGTTCGAGTACTTTGTGCGAGTGATTGAAGCGGTCTCCCAGCAACAGAGCATGTGCGGATTAGAGGAAGTCATGTGAACTAAACTTGCGGTGATCGATAACATGAGAGGAATGTAACTAGAATCAACACTATCACGAGGTAGTCTATATGATAATGGTTCTCTTTAATGGCTAAAAAGCCGTGAAAGTTTAGTTGAATCAGATACATTTTGAAACATCAGAAATACCTAACTGCAAGCTGGATATAATGACACCGAATTCTCATGAATAGATGTGCATACGAACTATGAACCTGCTTTAGAGTTTAATGCTGAACGTTATGCCTGCTTGAATATTGTGGTCTTATTGGAGGACGAAGTACGAATTCACAAAGAGCGCTTCTGATACAAATGTATGCAAGTCATCTGCCTATAACAAAACTAAACAGAGGAGCAAACTTCCCGCTCTAAATAAGTTGGTCTTCGAGGGGACTCATTTCAGCAGCCTTAAAGATGTTTTTAACTGAGGAGTTAAACGTCCAGAAGAGGAAAATATACTAGATCTTCGTTTTTTTCGACACAAATGTTGAGGTATTCTGTGTTTGTTGAACGATGCTTGGAAGGATACTTATTAGATGACAGTTCATATCGATATCGTGCTTATCGGAAACATTCTAAGGAATTAGAGAACCGCAAAAGTATCGAATCAAGTGGGTTCTCTGCGAGATCCCTAAAATGCACCCTCGATTAAGAACAACGTCATAAGCGATTACCTAGAAAGAGAAAGCGAAGTGAAGGATCGGAACTAGAGCTGTAAATGGTTTGGGTTTTTCAACTATCCTGCAGCAAACATTTTTTGATTATTTGCCTGATTTGTTTGAAAATGTTCATTTGTTGATCTTCTTATTACTCAATATATTTTTAGTTTGTCATGCTCCCAACACTGCCATTTACCCACCATTTCTATAAACTTAACGATATTAAATTCTCAGGTGACCGAACCCGAAGCACATACCGAGACCAGTACAACCCCGGAAAGCACCACGTTCGCCACGACCACAGCTGCACCAAGCCCCCAGGAATGGGTACCATACATCGACCTAAGCAGTTTTGTAGTTCGGGTCTACGACATGAAGGAGAAGCGGCTTCTGGCTGGCTCCAAAGTCATAAATGGCAGCGTTCAATTCCCGAATGGCACATCCATATCAATTGAAGGTCTACCAGGCTTCAAACGAGACTCTGATGCAGCTGAAGTTCTTCTCTCCGTTGATTTTGACGGCGAGTCGACAAACCTCGTGGACATTGAGACCGGTCGAACAATTATTAGAAAAAGTTTTTCCGAGGGTATCCCAGAGGAGGCAATAGGATTGAACTCTACTAAAATTATGTTTGAAGTACTCACTGGTCCCGCAGCCCTCCATATAGACACGTACACAGGAAAGTGGACAGTTCAGAGCACTGTGACTGGGCAGGTAGATGAGGTTGAGAGCATTAGAAACGGTTACCTCTATCTCCGTAATGGACAAACTGTTCGCCTGCCTGGTTTACCACGATCAGAGTCTTCAATCCTGGCGATTGATGCGAAGACCGGAAGAGTCACTAGATTCAACAGGGAAACGGCAGAAAAGATCTTTGACGATGCGCAAACCGTCACGGACGGAGCAGACAGCGTTACCACAGGAATAACCACTACAGAACGGCCTGCAGATACATCTTTGGGAAGTGTATCGACAGATAGCGCTGAATTATCTGCCCAGCTGTATGACACAAGTCCGGGGGCTGATATGAAAACTAAAACCGATGGCGACACAGAAGCTGAGGCCACGACTGAAGTACCAGAAGATCTTGATGACAAAAGCACAGATGCAATCCCACCGTTGTCCTCGGACAAGCCAGAAGGTGAAAGCACATCCACTGAGGAAAAAACTGGGGAGGAGGATGGCCACAGCCAGGCCACCGATGAAGAAGGAAATCTCGTGACAGATTCGACAGGTGTGTCTGGACAAGATGACATGGATGAAGCCAAAGGGGAAACACCCCCTCCGGTGCCAGGCGTTAGTTCCGACAAGGTAACTGAAGAGGAAGAAAAACCTTCATCCGAGGAGCTTCCAGACATGGAAGTTACTGAACCGACTGACTCAGAGACAACTGAGGAGAAGAAGGACGATGACCATGGCCAGGTCACCGATGAAGAAGGAAATCTCGTGACAGATTCTACAGGCGTGTCTGAAGAAGATGACTTCGACGACGCCAAAGTGGAAGTACCCGCTCCGGTGCCTGGCGTTAGCACTGACGAAGTAAATGCAGGGGAGCCAACTGATTCCGAGACCGCTGAGGTCGTGGATGACTACGCACAGACATTGGATTCCTACACTGGGGAGACAGAACAAGAGGAGAAGTCAACAGCGGCACCTGAACCAGGTGCTCTAGATGAAACGGACTCCTATGCAACTCCGGGAATTCCGACCATTGGTACGGAAGAAGATACTGGAAAAGAAGTCGGTATGCCATCCCCCGAGGCTCTGGATAGGGAAGATGCAGATCAGACTACAGCAAAAATAACTGACTCGGAGTCTGACACTTTGACCCTGCCCGGTCCATCAGCAGAGGACGCCAACAAGAAAGAAGACACAATGGAGCCTGGCCCAGGTATTGATCACACCGACGTGCCAGTAGACGGCGTAGAAAGCTCTGAAACCCGAGTCTCTGAAGGCTTTGAGCGAAAACCTCCTCTAATAACTTCACCAGAGGCGACAGATTCAGTGCCACCTAGCAAAGAGTCTGAAGGACCGGTTGCTACTGTCACAGACGAGGCTCCCAAATCCGAAGACACTTCTGGCAGCAGAACAGAGGCCAGTCTCCCGGACTGTACCCTCGAAGAGGGAGTGCCCCCTCCCACTATTTTGGCGCCTTCGGTAACATACTCCATGCTGTTCTGAGTCTGCTCCATTTACAAATATGGAGGCTCCTACCAGCCGATCGCATATGTTTCGCATGATTTGATGTTTTAACGCCCTTTTGAATCTGCATGAATCGATAGAAAACGCACTTTAGCTCGAAATAGCTGCACTTTTGGTCACATTCTAACGGATGAGTTCTGCAGACTAGCGCTGTTTTTTTTCTCTCTACGGTTAGGGAAAATCACCGTAGACAGTCACGTTCACTCGCCGCACTCAAGGCCTTACTTTTGATTGCTGTATGCTTTGCTGATTCGCAGTACCGGCATGCTTTCAGTTTGCACCCCGCTTTCTGAATCTACGAGAAGCTCTTGATTTACACTATGCTCTATTCCCTTAATAAATTTCATCTCTTTTTACCTTTTATGCAAATCATGCTCTCCGCAGACGGAAGATGAGTGTAAGTAATTACTATTGTTGTTAACTTTGTGCGTCAAATTTCTTGAAGGGTGTTCTATGTTGATGGTTGTGATCGAAGAGCAAGCAATGAGAGTTTCTGGAAACATTTTATGTTATGCCTGCATAAACAGCGAATCCTCTTGCTCATCGGCTCCCACTTATTAATTGGAGCTCTTCCCGTTCTCGGAAATTACGGCCAGTGGTTTACCAATCAGGGAGAACCTACTGAAAGATACTGACCTGCGGTGCGCGTCAGGTGGATTGGTAATTTTTCACACTGGACGGCACTCGCGAATATTCGGGCCGCAGGAAGGGGTAAAGACTTCACGCATACTCGATGCAACAGCGCACGGCGGCTGGCTGTCTAGTTTCCCATGTGTATTTTCCTAGTCGACCGGGAATGTTACGGCGCGCGTGGTCACGTGCTTTTTCTAACTTTGGCCACGACGTCCTTGCGATCTCCTCCCCATAACAAAGATTTTCTGCCCCGAGTCCGCCGATTGACCGTAATGAAATGGATCTGGCGAGCCTTGGACGCTGCGCTGCGTACCACACCGCTGACCCATCAGATCAGCTGGCTAGTGCGAATTGATCGATATTCCTGTGCGTAGGACTGCAAAAATCGCCTTTTTTTACGACTGAAAAATTGTATTGGCAAACAATTGTTTTCAAGCATTCGTCTTCAGACCAGTACAATGACATGGAGAACAAAATGGTCAGTTATGTGCAGTGGTTATATGGTCATTGGGGTAGGGTGCTGGGTGGATGTAATCAGTCATCTCGGTGTTTCCTCGTCTCATGCGCCAGTGCGTTGAGGACGTTGGGTGCGGCCCGCGGGGTGAACGTGCATTTTTCTTCTCTCTGCGGCTTCGTGTGACGGGGTTTCGAACGGC